TCTAAAATGGAGGATATGGGAACCTAACGTTCTAGTTTCTATAATTTAGGGATTGCAATTTGGACTGTCACTTAAAGCCCTACACTAGTCTAAATTTATATCCTATACTCCGTGGCGGCTAGCAATTAGCCTACTCTTTTTCGAAAGCCAGTAGAGTGATCTTTAACGTGCAAGGCGTGACTCTCCTTACACCGGACCCCCATTTAACGTCCCTTCCGAAGGACAAGAAGGTTAGAGGACAGCGTGAGGGAGTATGAACAAAGGTCTTATGGAAATAGCTTGTTAAGAGTTTGTTGGTATATTATCTTTAGGAGGATTTATAAACACCAATTGTATAACCCCCGTCCTGCGGGTACTTATACAAGTCATGATGTGTACGAATAGTAAAAAGGGGGAATTGGTAAAAGATGTTGATACTGTAGAGTATAGGGTGCGGTATAGATCTGCTGGCGTTGTGTTAGTTTGAAGGGTAAAGTTAGGTGATTTATGTGGTTTGATATGCAAACACTGTCTTTCAGGAGGCTGTGGCTACTGTGTATGATCACCAACAAACCTTTCTTACTAGAGCAATGTTTTGCATACGTGTTGCATATTTGACAGTGAATTAGTGAGTGGGAAGAAGTGTAGAATGAGAGTAAGTGCCAGGATTAAAGTTGGCACGGATAGACCCCACCCATTGACCAAGGGGATGTGTTATTGTGTGTATGTCTGGTATGTTGGTAAAGTGCTGTTGTTGATGTGTTAGAAGGTACTTATACAGTGTTGTAAATGGAGTCCTATTAAATCTGACTTTAGTTTTATAAACACAACACCACAGACCACTCACTTATACAAGTGCACCTTACGAGATGGGAAGCTGCAAATGTTGTGTTTGAAGTTTTGAATGACTCAGGACTTCACTTGCACGTATATCGCCGACTGCGACTAGCGCCACCTAGTGGCACGCATTCCCGTAGGAGAAAGCAATTTCGTTCTAATTCGCGGACTCAACCGAAAGAAATTATATTGTACAACGATGTGACGAAATTGTATGTTTTTATGTCACTCGACCCGGGACGTTTCGCATATCGATAGGAAACGTATACACACTGCGTCAGATAGGTTCCAGGTAGGGTGCATATCTAACCCCCTCCCTTGTTATGTCAGTATCAGGTCATACAGACGACCCAGCTGGTAAGTGAGGTATATGATAAGAACTACCTTCGTTAGAACAGAGAAGAGCATTTTGATCCGGAAGTTTTATTATATAGTCTCACGTTTCGGTGACTGATTATTTGGATTGTTACATTCGTGTGATTGACTTGTATGACACGAAAGCGCAGTAGCGAGACAAGTGTTAGAGTTACACAACTCAGAACAAATAGACACAAAACCGGCACATTGTGTTTTTCCTCTGGTTTTATGTTCCGCTCTGTTGCACACTCCGTCCTGGTCGTCAGAGTTTCAACACAGAACAATTTCTGACATAGTGTTGAATAAAGGATACATTACTTTATTGTAGGTGTTTTATCTATTGTTACCTAAGATGAACAAAATTTCGAGTGATTATAACATGTAAAATACAATGAAATTTATCTATTTTTCTACATGGCTTTAATGCTCCTCCGTTGGTTAGTGCTATTATAAACTGCCTTGTATTTAATATGTAGAAATGAAAGTCACATCTGTCTGTAAATGATTGTTAATGTCTATATATTAACCGAAACTCAGTTTTTATTCTCCATTAGTATTATCTATGTAGGGGAAGCTACACGAGTATTGTAACATTTTTTTAAGTTTAGTAAGTTTTTATCACAATACAAAATATATGCATAGTGTCATGTTTCTTTATAAGGAATTAAAGAAAATAAATTTTCACAGAGGCTTTCATTTTAAAAATTCAAAAGGACATTTAATAATTTTGAATTTTAATTGTTCAAAATTTTCTCCGCAAATCTGTACGGAAATTAATCATTGACCTATTTAATCACAAAACACATATAAGGAACTTTCGACAAATTCCTACTATCAATACGAACACTGTTGTCTTGTGTTTCTTACAATAAGAGCGTTGCTATTTTTAGATCACCTATACATATTCCCTATATAAACAGTGGCGAATGAGGATTGTGCTATCGTCTTCTGAGAAGCCGAGTGGCCGTATAAGGATTTTGCAAGTATTGACAGTCCACACTAGGCTTCATATGTTTGATATTTGACATGTAAAGATCACGATTGTTTAATGTCCAACTCCCTCTTGTTAACTACAAACGTCTGTCCTAGATACAGTGTACTTTTCACGACGGAATATTTGAAGTTTGCCTTTCCTTGTCCTGTTTTAGTATCTCCCTCTCTTTTCTATAAGGAGATGTACCAAATGGCTTAATTCGTTTTTAAGATAAAGTTTAGGACTCAAAGTTCATTACTAGCCGAACAGTTTAAAAGGCATTCGGTATATAAAACTGTATGTTTGAATACCAGGATGACATAAGGCGATTGCATCTCATGCATATTTAATTATACCCTATATATCATAGAGGGCAACAGCATTAACAACCAAAGAGGCAATTAATATTCTAGCATTTTTAGTAGCCATTTATCGGCATTTTTCTTTGTTGTGTCCCTTATCGACCCATTTATCACTTCCTTCATTTTATCACAATATAAATGTAGGAATCAAATGTGTTGATTGCAAATTAAATCCTAAAAGACTCTTATCTGAAATGACTTAAGTTTCTTATACATTGAAAATGCTGATATAAAATATAATCGACTTACTGTCATCCATCCAAACCGGATTTCGTGTTCCACATTTTCCGGAGCCTGGAGCTGTTCGAGGTATGGTCCCGCCAGCACCCGACACCGATCTATACCATCCCTCATTTATTAGAAGATCATTTTCATAAACAGTCCCAGCGGAGATCGCGGTGGACCGCCAGGGATCGTCCAGTAACTCGTGGTTATGCACCTGGCAAGGGTCATCATCTTGGCCTGAAACCATTCACAATGGATAACACACATTAACCTTCAGTTGTAATGAAAGCGTCTTAACTTTTTAATAAAACCTTTGTACCTGTTTATTTGTATTTGTTTAGAATTATTATATTTGGGTCTCAGAGGTTATTATAACTGTCCAGGTCATATTAGAAATGTAGAAATGTGTGCGATATATAGTTGAATTCAGGCCAGTTATTGAAATGTTTTGAACTTTATATAAAAAATAATAAGCTTAAATATTCATACGGTTTTTGATTCGGAATAAAAACAGAAAACAATTAAAAAAATGAATACGTCGTCTAGATTCTTCTATCAAAACAATGGTAGTTATTTAACCATTTTACTGATACTCACCATCTACTATAGCAGCCAGTAGCCATAGAGCTAGCCAACCGCGATAGTACATCTCTGGTCCTGATTTCAGTTGTTCTCCTACAGACTGTGTATTGCTTGAGGTGTTAACTATCTGATCGCTGACGTAGTAGTATGGGTTAACCATTATTGTCAAAACTTCCGGGTACAGTGTGTCAGGGCATACATATTTCATGTTATTTTTGACTCGATCAAGCTGTAATTAAACTCGTTACAATTACTAGGACAATTTTGAAAATAAATTGAAATCTACCTCTTAAAGAAAGTGATACAGCTGGATTAGACCTTGTTAGTAGTGATGGATGGTTTGCTTGACGTAGAAATAGTTGCTTGACAATGGGACGACCACAAAATTGGAAAGTATGGAGATGTTATTAGTTGTAAGGCGACATTATAAGTAATGTCTTGATAGTTAGGCGACGCTATAAGTAGTGACTGTGTAGTAAGGCGACGTTATAAGTAGTGACTGGGAAGTAAGGCGACGTTATAAGTAGATACTGTGTAGTAAGGCGACGTCATAAGTAGAAACTTGGTAGTAAGGCGACGTCATAAGTAGATACTTGTTAGTAAGGTGACGTTATAAGTAGATATTTGGTAGCAAGGTTACACTATAATAAGATATTGTGTAGTAAGGCGACGTCATAAGTAGAAACTTGGTAGTAAGGCGCCGCTATAAGTAGAGACTGTGTAGTAAGGCGACGCTATAAATAGTGACTGTGTAGTAAGGCGACCTTATAAGTAGTGACTGTGTAGTAAGGCGACGCTATAAATAGTGACTGTGTAGTAAGGCGACGTTATAAGTAGTGACTGTGTAGTAAGGCGACGTTATAAGTAGTGACTGTGTAGTAAGGCGACGCTATAAATAGTGACTGTGTAGTAAGGCGACGTTATAAGTAGTGACTGGGTAGTAAGGCGACGTTATAAATAGAGACTGTGTAGTAAGGCGACGTTATAAGTAGTGACTGTGTAGTAAGGCGACGCTATAAATAGTGACTGTGTAGTAAGGCGACGTTATAAGTAGTGACTGGGTAGTAAGGCGACGTTATAAATAGAGACTGTGTAGTAAGGCGACGTTATAAGTAGTGACTGTGTAGTAAGGCGACGCTATAAATAGTGACTGTGTAGTAAGGCGACGTTATAAGTAGTGACTGGGTAGTAAGGCGACGTTATAAATAGAGACTGTGTAGTAAGGCGACGTTATAAGTAGTGACTGTGTAGTAAGGCGACGCTATAAATAGTGACTGTGTAGTAAGGCGACGTTATAAGTAGTGACTGGGTAGTAAGGCGACGTTATAAATAGAGACTGTGTAGTAAGGCGACGTTATAAGTAGTGACTGTGTAGTAAGGCGACGCTATAAATAGTGACTGTGTAGTAAGGCGACGTTATAAGTAGTGACTGGGTAGTAAGGCGACGTTATAAATAGAGACTGTGTAGTAAGGCGACGTTATAAGTAGTGACTGTGTAGTAAGGCGACGCTATAAATAGTGACTGTGTAGTAAGGCGACGTTATAAGTAGTGACTGGGTAGTAAGGCGACGTTATAAATAGAGACTGTGTAGTAAGGCGACGTTATAAGTAGTGACTGTGTAGTAAGGCGACGCTATAAATAGTGACTGTGTAGTAAGGCGACGTTATAAGTAGTGACTGGGTAGTAAGGCGACGTTATAAATAGAGACTGTGTAGTAAGGCGACGTTATAAGTAGTGACTGTGTAGTAAGGCGACGCTATAAATAGTGACTGTGTAGTAAGGCGACGTTATAAGTAGTGACTGGGTAGTAAGGCGACGTTATAAATAGAGACTGTGTAGTAAGGCGACGTTATAAGTAGTGACTGTGTAGTAAGGCGACGCTATAAATAGTGACTGTGTAGTAAGGCGACGTTATAAGTAGTGACTGTGTAGTAAGGCGACGTTATAAATAGAGACTGTGTAGTAAGGCGACGTTATAAGTAGAGACTGTGTAGTAAGGCGACGCTATAAGTAGAGACTGTGTAGTAAGGCGACGCTATAAGTAGATACTGTGTAGTAAGGCGACGTCATAAGTAGATACTTGGTAGTAAGGTGACGTTATAAGTAGATATTTGGTAGCAAGGTTACACGATAATAAGATATTGTGTAGTAAGGCGACGTCATAAGTAGAAACTTGGTAGTAAGGCGCCGCTATAAGTAGAGACTGTGTAGTAAGGCGACGCTATAAATAGTGACTGTGTAGTAAGGCGACCTTATAAGTAGTGACTGTGTAGTAAGGCGACGCTATAAATAGTGACTGTGTAGTAAGGCGACGTTATAAGTAGTGACTGTGTAGTAAGGCGACGCTATAAATAGTGACTGTGTAGTAAGGCGACGTTATAAGTAGTGACTGGGTAGTAAGGCGACGTTATAAATAGAGACTGTGTAGTAAGGCGACGTTATAAGTAGTGACTGTGTAGTAAGGCGACGCTATAAATAGTGACTGTGTAGTAAGGCGACGTTATAAGTAGTGACTGGGTAGTAAGGCGACGTTATAAATAGAGACTGTGTAGTAAGGCGACGTTATAAGTAGTGACTGTGTAGTAAGGCGACGCTATAAATAGTGACTGTGTAGTAAGGCGACGTTATAAGTAGTGACTGGGTAGTAAGGCGACGTTATAAATAGAGACTGTGTAGTAAGGCGACGTTATAAGTAGTGACTGTGTAGTAAGGCGACGCTATAAATAGTGACTGTGTAGTAAGGCGACGTTATAAGTAGTGACTGGGTAGTAAGGCGACGTTATAAATAGAGACTGTGTAGTAAGGCGACGTTATAAGTAGTGACTGGGTAGTAAGGCGACGCTATAAATAGTGACTGTGTAGTAAGGCGACGTTTTAAGTAGTGACTGTGTAGAAAGGCGACGCTATAAATAGAGACTGTGTAGTAAGGCGACGTTATAAGTAGTGACTGGGTAGTAAGGCGATAATATAAGTAGATACTGTGTAGTAAGGCGACGTCATAAGTAGATAATTGGTGGTAAGGCGACGTCATAAGTAGATACTTGGTAGTAAGGCGACGTCATAAGTAGTGACTTTGTAGTAAGACGACGCTATAAGTAGATACTGGGTAGTAAGGCGACGTTATAAGTAGAGACTGTGAAATAAGGTGATGATATAAGTAGAGACTGTGTAGTAAGGTGATGATATAAGTAGAGACTGTGTAGTAAGGCGACGTTAAACGTAATAACTGGGTAGATAAGTGGCTTAATAAGTATTTACTTGCTAGTAAGGCGATGTTATGAGTTGTTATTGGATAGAGAGGTGACCGGGTAGTAAGGCGACGCTATAAATAGTGACTGTGTAGTAAGGCGACGTTATAAGTAGATACTGGGTAGTAAGGCGACGTTATAAGTAGAGACTGTGTAGTAAGGTGATGGTATAAGTAGAGACTGTGTAGTAAGGTGATGATATAAGTAGTGACTTTGTAGTAAGACGACGCTATAAGTAGTGACTGGGTAGTAAGGCGACGCTATAAGTAGATACTTGGTAGTTAGGCGACGTTATAAATAGTGACTGTGTAGTAAGGCGACGTTATAAATAGAGACTGTGTAGTAAGGCGACGTTAAACGTATTAACTGGGTAGTAAGGCGACGCTATAAGTAGATACTTGGTAGTAAGGCGACGTTATAAGTAGTGACTGGGTAGTAAGGTGATGATATAAGTAGATACTGTGTAGTAAGGCGACGTTATAAGTAGAGACTGGGTAGTAAGGCGACGTTAAACGTAATAACTGGGTAGATAAGTGGCTTAATAAGTATTTCCTTGCTAGTAAGGCGATGTTATGAGTTATTATTGGATAGAGAGGTGACCGGGTAGTAAGGCGACGCTTTCAGAAGTGAAAATGTAGTTAGGAGACGGAGACCTGTAGGAGACGTAATAAATAGTTACTTGTTAGTTGACGACGTTATAAGAAGTTTCTGGATAGTAAGGCGACACTATAAGCAGTCGATGTAAAGTTAGGCGACGTTATAAGAGGTTACCTGGTAGTAAGATGACGTTATAAGTTGTTACTTTGTTATTATATATAAATGATGACTGGGTAGTAAGGCGATGATATAAGAAGTGACTGGGTCGTTAGGCGACGTTATAAGAGAGTATGGGGTAGTTAATTGTAGTGACTGGGTAGTAAGGCGATGTTAAAAGGTTGTTGGGCAGTAAAGTGACGCTATAAGAAGTGACTGGGTAGTTAGGTGACGTTATAATTTTGATTCCGATTAAGTCCTTTTGTGCTGGCGCAATGGTCTATTCCTGTTTATATTAAATGCATTGCTTTCGTCTATAAGTTTTGTTTAAAAGAAACTAGTGTCATGATATATCACAATACTATATCGTTTTTGACACTGTTCAAAGTTATTTAAAGTTCCTTATGTAATCTATTGTGTTGTACTCCCTATTCAATGTTTTGTCGATGTTCAGTCGGTGTACGATAACAATACAATGAACATAGTTTTAGCAGTTGTCGTTAATACAAAATAAACCGTCTTGTACTGACTAAAAAGTGTCCGATGAAGAAATTGGTCGCTTGACCTTACAGCCAAGTTCTTACATAAGTCTTTTAAAGACAACAACTAAAATTTGCATTTTACTTAATATCCAGTTAGATTCGCTGGGGTGTTATTTAATACATTATTCTGAAAATTTAATTTATTTAATATCCTGATAAGAGAAATCATATCCGCGACTTAACAGATCTTCGCTTATGCAAGTGCACCTGACGAAGTGTGACGCTGCGAATGTTATATTGGATTTTTACTTTATCTATTCATACATTTGTTTATATTTATTTATTTATTTTTCAACATACTATTTCTAGTTTTTGTCCTTTTAGTTGATATGTGAGGTTTTATTGTATTATTATATATCTTCACTTGCTAAAGTGCACCTGAAGAGGTGATGATGCTGGATATACCCATGATATATGTTTTATTTATTTTCTGGTTACTTTTAGAATTTTGTTGTCCATCAATAGAACACTAGGTCAATGAGGGATGGGAGACAATTCTAATGAACAGAACTCCCCGCCTGCGGTTAGAACAAAGGCGTTGCAGCAACCCATTGTCTATCGGAGGATCCAATACATATATATGTGTGGTTTTTTTTGT